ACCGTGAGGCCTTTGCTCAATGCCATGTAGTCAGGGATCTCTGCATCATCAGAGTGATTCCTTTTCCCTAACATTTTCTAGGATGTCCAGGTAAAAAGCAACAGCCTTTTTCGTGGAAATGCTCATCTCACGGTCTGCAAGTAAAATAACGCAAACTCCAAAGCTAGGATCTAAGTATAGAGTTAGATCTGGAGGATATCAGATCCTGAAATGGAAGATGAATACACAGATGTAAGGAGAAAAGATTCTCTAAAATGCCTCATAGGAGCCACAGCCTCTGCCTTAAGAATGTGAGCCAGTCACACTGTCGAACGTAATACTCCTAAAAGGCAGATGAGACATCGTGTCTAGAATTCCATATTATGCAAATAGACTGGAGCCCAGTGCCCTCTGGATCCATGTTTGCCAAAGCATGGTTGTGAGTTGTTCCAGTCGTTTTTACTCATTTATTATTAACTTTTTAAATGTTTATTTATTTTTGAGAGAGAGAGAGAGAGAGAGGCAGAGCACGAGCAGGGAGGCTGCAAAGAGAGAGGGAGACACAGAGGCTGAAGCAGGCTCCAGGCTCTGAGCTCTCAGCACAGAGCCCGACGCGGGGCTTGAACCCAGAAACCATGAGATCATGACCTGAACCAAAGTCAGATGCTTAACCGACTGAGCCACCCAGGTGCCCCTGTTCTGGTCATTTTTAAATTCAAGAAGACGTGTTTAGTACACGGGTGACGGTATGAGAGATACTTTATCACCTGAAATTACAAGGTTCAGTAGTTGATTCTTGAATATCTGCCGCACAGTGTTGGGCTCCATCTTTCCATTACTCCATGATATGAAGTTCCAGTGGCCTTCCTTCCTATTCTGAGCAAGGCCCCCTAAATTGTCTTGTAAAGACCAAATTACCTAAGCAAGCTACTCCAGTGCATGAGAAAAGGGATACCAAGTGTCTTCAGGGATTTTTTTTTTCTTGTAAACAGGCTGAATAAGGACAAAACATCAACAGCTTTGCTTTATGGCCTAGTTAGTTATTTTCACTTTGGGATTCTAAGTTGGAAGACCAGGGCACTTGCCTGCACCTATGGCTGTGAAGACCCAGGTTGTTTCCAAGGAGTAGTGTTTATAGTGGCAAAGTTTTGAGCTTAAGCAAGTTGTAAAATTTGTTCTGCCCAAAATACTAACTATAGAAGGGTGAGTACACTCGACCAGTTCACTGTAATGTTTGCATGAGTAGACAGGAAAATGGATTAATTATTGTTTGGGGTTTCTTTTGTTTTTGTTGTTGCTGTTCTTGTTGTTTTAAGAGAGAGAGAGAGAGGGAATGTGAACGGGGGAGGGGCAGAGAGAGAGGGAGACACAGAATCCGAAGCAGGCTGCAGGCTCCCAGCTGTCAGCACAGACCCCGACGTGGGGCTCAAACTCATGAACTGCAAGATCATGACCTGAGGTGAAGTTGAATGCTTAACCAACTTAGCCACCCACGCGCTCCCTTGTGTATTGTGTTTTTGTTGAAGTTTTTAAGGAGGGACCTAGATGACATTTTGAGTTACATTTCTTTTACAATAACTTGAAATATCCTTTTTATTTTTTAAATTTAATTTATTTTTTAAATTTACATCCAAGTTAGTTAGCGTATAGTGCAACAATGATTTCAGGAGTAGATTCCTTAATGCCCCTTACCCATTTAGCCCATCCCCCTTCCCATAACCCCTCCTGTAACCCTCTGTTTATTCTCTGTATTTAAGAGTCTCTTATGTTTTGTCTCCCTCCCTGTTTTTATATTATTTTTGCTTCCCTTCCCTTGTGTTCATCTGTTTTGTATCTTAAATTCCTCATGAGTGAAGTCATATATTTGTCTTTCTCTGACTAATTTTGCTTAGCATAATACCCTCTAGTTCCATCCATGTGGTTGCAAACGACAAGATTTCATTCTTTTTGATTGCTGAGTAATACTCCATTGTATATATACACCACATCTTTTTTATCCATTCATCCATCGATGGACATTCGGGCTCTTTCCATACTTTGGCTGTTGTCGATAGCGCTGCTATAAACATTGGGGTGCATGTACCCTTTCGAAACGGCATACCTGTATCCCTTGGATAAATACCTAGTTGTGCAGTTGCTGGGTCATAGGGTAGTTCTATTTTCAACTTTTTGAGGAACCTCCATACTGGTTTCCAGAGTGGCTGCGCCAGCTTGCATTGCCACCAACAACGCAAAAGAGATCCTCTTTCTCCGCATCCTCGCCAACATCTGTTGTTGCCTGAGTTGTTAATGTTAGCCATTCTGAAAGGTGTGAAGTGGTATCCCATTGTGGTTTTGATTTGTATTTCCCTGATGATGAGTGATGCTGAGCATTTTGAAATATCCTTTTTAAATTCTTGGCAAGTAACTAGACCTATACATTTATCTTGGTTTAGATAGATGATCTTGCGTAAGCTTCAGAATATCTAAAATTTTGGTCTAACCTCTCATATTAACACTGTCAACTTACTGGTATAATTAATTTTCTGGACTGCAGCAGTGGAAGGGGACCCCACTACAGTTCTTCAGTGCTGTGCACACTGAGGTATTCTGTTGCTAAGCCACTCAGGAAATCTGTGCGCCCCTCCTGTGTGCTAGGTCTGCTTTAAGTACTGGCAATAGAGTGGTGATTAACGCCATGTTTTCTTAGGGTTTGTGCTCTAGAAATCACTACTGTCCAGTGCTTGGGTTTAGTTTTCTGTTGAGTGTAGCTTTCCTCCTGCCCCTGCCTCACACAATTCCAACACTTGAACCGCACTGCACAGCTCCCAGCTCCCTGAGAACATCACACTCATTCTCTCTCTCTCTTTCCTTTTCTCTGCCCCTGCTATTCTCAGTACCTGAAACATTCTCCACTTGTTTGTTTACCTGGCAAACTCCTCCACTTTAAGACAGAGCTCTAAAGTTATTTCATCTCTGAATCCTTGGCATCTTCTGCCAGCCCACGTTAATTGCCTTGACTTTAAACCACTGTCAGAAATTAATAAATACCCTTTCCAGAATTGGATTGGCATTTCTTTACTGGAAGAACATTGATTAAGTTGGGATTCCTAGGCATGTGTCTCCTGTCTCCACCTCTGGAGCTGGGAGGCTCCCTAGGCTATCTGGATGGGTTAGCTGAATGGTGAGCTAACTTGTGCTGCCATCAAGTGGTTCAGCCAGGCAGTGTGACTTAATTCTTCTGCAAGATCAAACTAGTCCGATTTCTGCCATGTATCTACAGAGAGAGGGAGGGTGATAATCTCATTGTGTAATCGGAAGGTATGATTATCAGACCATATTCATCCTGAGACACTTAAAACTTTATGGTATCCTTGGCAGGCTTGTGATCTGTAAATGGGAATGTGTTTTTGATCTTTACTTTTCTGTAACCAGGAAACCCGAGACAGAGATGTGACACGGCTTGCTTATGCACCTTCATTATTTGAGACAGAGCACAGTGCATATGCTTTCTTTTGCTTTGCTTTTGCTACTCAGCTTGGTGAACAACGTTTTCTTTCCTTATCCGTTGTATGAGCCTCAGCAAACATTTCATACTGTGTTAGTCTGAGATCTCTCTTCGGTTTGTGCTCTCATATACTGTATCCTTGCTGCAATATGGCTTTAAAAGTAAAGGCCTTGGGGCGCCTGGGTGGCGCAGTCGGTTAAGCGTCCGACTTCAGCCAGGTCACGATCTCGCGGTCCGTGAGTTCGAGCCCCGCGTCAGGCTCTGGGCTGATGGCTCAGAGCCTGGAGCCTGTTTCCGATTCTCTGTCTCCCTCTCTCTCTGACTCTCCCCCGTTCATGCTCTGTCTCTCCCTGTCCCAAAAATAAATAAACGTTGAAAAAAAAAAAAAAGTAAAGGCCTTTTTGACAAAATATTTTTGCTCTGTAAGTGGGAGATAGGTGGATAGTGACAAACAAATTCTCAAAAACCAAGAGTCACCTAATCAAAGTCTGCCCAGGTATGGAGGTACTTTGGGGACGTTAGTTTACTTAGTGCACATCTCAATTTTACTTCGGTACCTCTAGTAAAGTTTTTTATTTTGACCACCAGGTGTTGGATCCTTTTGTTTAATAGAAGTATCATTGTAATTTCTACTCTTTCCTCTCATGCATGTGTGATAAACAGAATACATTCCCTCTTTGGTGAAGAGACAAGCCCAAGTTACTTCAAGCTAGAAGGGTCCTTTTGCATCATGACTCAGTACCATTGTAATAGGGTTCCTTTATATTCTATGTTGGATCCTGTCCAAATGTATCAAACATAAGCAGTAGAGAACCTGACACTAGTTAAGTTCTTCTAACAGGTAGTGTTTAGACCTGTCATCCCATACCACCTCCATCAAGTGTCCCTTGCTTACCCAAGCTGTTGCCATATGGTCATAGTGTCTCCCCCACAAAGAACAAAAGAAAGAAAAGGCGAGGTGACCCTATCTTATTAGTAGCAAAGTTTATAAAGCTCAGATGCAGAATGATAATAAACTAGGGAAGAAGAGTGGTTGTCAAAGGCTGAGAAAGGGAAATGCTTAGTTTAGAGGGACCAAAGCTGGTAGAACCATCTTAATGAACCACAAATTGTGAAGACAATTAGCATCATCTCTTGAGGAGGATCAGATGTCAAAATCTACGTGGTGGTTTTGTAATGGTGCTCAATTCAGAGTAGAAAGAGTATCCTATCTGGAATCTCTGCCCTCTAGATTTGTTCATTGCCTTCTTTTGAAAGGTTCACAGACGTTTACTTCTGCTTATATTTAATACTTTTTCAGTCTCATATTGTTTCATTGATAGATTGCCTTGTTACAGTTTACTTTATCTGTCATGTATCCTCTCAAGCTGGCTTTCCATGTGCTTCTCTCTCTCAAGATACACACTTTAGATTTCACCAAAAGGTTTCTGCGTTTGTGCCACTGAGAGCAATCAGGCGTCATTAGATTCTGGATTAGTTGCTTTCCTAATTACCAGTGTGTTTTTTTGGGGGGCGGGGGCTGTTGCCTTTCTAGAGTGTCCTGCCATTCTTCATAGCTACAAAGCTGTCTAAAATCCGAAAGCCCACTCTGGATACGCCCTCTGCAGAGACCTTCGTGAAGTCTGCGATTAAAACGGTGGGCTTGCAGTCCCGAACCACTGGATACCTGATCCATTCTCTTATGGTATGTAGATTTTCAAGTCTCAAATCAGTAGTTTGCTATGGGGTTTTCATTCCCACTGAGTCACAAAATAGCATGTGATGTATTAGCATATGTGCATTGTCTAGACTTACTAACAAGGCATCTGTGTTGTGTTTTGTTTTTAAGTTTATTTATTTTGAGAGATAGAGAGAGAGTGTGTGTGGGTGTGGGTGTGTGCACAAGCCGGGGAGGTGCAGAGAGAGAGAGTGGGGAGAGAGAGAATCCCAAGCAGGTTCCACGCTGTCAGCGTGGTTTTATTTGAGAAGTTACCTACAAAGAAAACAACAATAAAGTAAAACATAAGATCAGATGCTTTAAGTTAGCTCAAATTATAGGCTGTAATTACCTATCTCCCCATTTCTTTCCCTAGGGCTCGATAATTTCAGTCATGCCTACCTGGCTGTATTTTAAAATAACCACGAATATGGGCAAATCCACGCGGGCTCGCTATCTGAAGAAAGCCAAGAAGAATTAAGCATCGATAACTGCACTGAGTAGCTTGGCTGGGTGCACCAACCTACACAGGATTATGGCAAGACACCCCCCTCTCCAAAATCTGCGGTTGTCATTTATCAATTACTAATAAGGCTAAATGTTGTCATAATTGGGAGGAGAGCAGAAGTTGCTTTCAGGAATTCCAGACATATATTCTGGATCCTACCAGGAGTTATTTTGAAGTTTAATATAAATGCTCATATAAAATGGACATAGAACTAATACTAGCTAGAACAGTGTAATGGGAAGGAACATGATTGTAGCAAATCACAGAACGACAGAGACAGACGTAATGCTTCAGTGGTTTCGTCTGGCCAAAATGCCAACGATGATGATCTTTGTATTTTCTCTGAAATATACTTTAAAAAGTAATGGCCAGCTCCCCCCACCCCCCATTTTTTTTTAACACTTTTGGGGGAGTGGAGCTGAATTGATTCACTTATGGGAGGACATATTGCAATATACATCACTAGAAGGTTTTCTAAAAGTATGTCCCGGCTTGTACATTTATATGGAACTTTTTATGCTCAAAGGTAGCTGATCACATAAAAATAAGACATGAAATATGGAGTTCTTTTTGACACATGAAGCCTGCTAAAATATGCTTTCCTCTGATACATATTTCTTTTCAGTTTAAATGCATGTAAATACTGAAGGCTATATGGTATGATTTATAAAGGTAAATGGACCAGAAAGTACACTGAGGTGGGCAGCCGCTTATGGTGTCACTAAAACCGTTATCCAGGAAAGTGGCTTGCTTAGTCCCCAGCCTCTTCTGTTTCTGCACTGCACCAATACTGCTCACATATGTGACCACACGCTATTCCCACCACAGTAATGATAACAGAGAAGTGGCCTTGTAGTTTTAAACTGATACCCTATTGATAGCAATATGACTAGTTTTAATAAAAGGTGATAGAACCATGGTGTTGATTGAAAAAATGTATTTCTTTCGTACTCGAAATTAAGGCTGTTTTTACACTGGCTTAATATAAATTGAGACTTACTTTTATCCTGCTCCATAACTTGTTTGAAGGAAATCATCAAGAAATAATTCAATATTGTGAAACATGCAATACAGAAGATAGGTCTTTACCAAGGCTGTGGTTCTTAGGCTCTGAGTTTTAAGCACTAGGAGATTTGTCCCCCCCCCAAAAAAAAAAAAAAAAGTAAATTGCAGTGTTTAGGCGTTTCTAGCTTTTAATTTTGCCAGCTGAGGACGCAAAATAAAAACAGGAAGATCCAAAGTACTATCTGCTGTTAGCATCATTATATAGTTGAAAAGGCATTTTAGTACCAAAAAAAGTAAGAACATAATCTTAGAATCATTTAAATTGAATTAACTTAATTTTATGAAAAACACACTGCCTTTTTTGCTCTCATTTTGTTGTAGAAAGGTGAAGCCACAGTGACCTGGGCAATATTTTATTTTACACATTGGTTGGTTAATGGTTGCAGGTGATAGCTTTCAGTGGAGAGTTGGTAGAACCGGGAAGGGATTGATTTACAAGCGTACAAAATACTTCCTCTTCTGTCCGAGTTAGAAAATAGTTGCATTCTGGGGCGCCTGGGTGGCGCAGTCGGTTAAGCGTCCGACTTCAGCCAGGTCACGATCTCGCGGTCCGTGAGTTCGAGCCCCGCGTCAGGCTCTGGGCTGATGGCTCAGAGCCTGGAGCCTGTTTCCGATTCTGTGTCTCCCTCTCTGTCTGCCCCTCCCCCGTTCATGCTCTGTCTCTCTCTGTCCCAAAAATAGATAAACGTTGAAAAAAAAAATTAAAAAAAAAAAAAAAGAAAATCGTTGCATTCTGATTAGGAAATCCCTTAGCAATCTCAAAACTTCTGAAGCTATAGCTTTTGCTACTTCAACTTAGCAACTAGTATCTCTTATATTTGACACTCAGGTTTGCAGATAAGTGCATGAAAGTCTGTTTCCAGGCACATGAAAAGAAAAAGCTCATGAAAAGAGAAACCACCGTATTCCAAACTTTCAAAATAGCAGAGCACAATTTTTAGACCTAACTTTATATCAACTTAATATTATGTCTGATATGTGCCAGGTAAGGTCTGAACCTGAAAAAAGGAGAATAAAAGAGACCTGTAGATTCATATAGAATCAGCTCACCTCACAACACAGTAAGCCAGATTTTCATTTCCTGTTCTTCCATTGTTCCCACAGGGCAGCACGGGGGCGGGCGGGGGGGCACGGGAGGAACTGCCCTACACACATGATGACGTTGCCATTCTCATTTGTCTTTGTGCTCATCCCACGTGCACTGGGAATGAATACAGATGTTCTGATCATTCTCAACTTCCTCAGATGTGGTCCTGTCCTAAATGAAGGAGGCCGTCTCATTTGATACTTAGTGCAAGAAAATCCGATAGCACTGAATTTTCTAGGGAGCGAACATTAGTGCGACACCACACAGACGGTGTCTATGTGGTGTGAGAGAGCTTTATTGTGATGACAATGAAATGAACTTTAAGTAGCACTCTAAGTGTTTAAGTCTGTTGACACCAAAAATTACCTGAGGTTGAGATGGTCCTGGGTTCTCTTACCTTCTCTGGAGTTTACCAGCATCAAAAGAAATCATCAGAGCTTTTTATTGAATATGTTGGAAACTAATTCAATTTAAAAAAAATTTTTAAGGACTCACTACTTTGTACTTTGATACTCCTCTCATGATGAAAACTTATAAATGTGGACAGAATTTAAGTTCCCTTGTGTAATGTATTTCTGTTGAGGATTATATGGAGATATCTAGTAATGGAACACTGTGTAGCATGTACATAAACATATTACATCAATGTTGATGTGATGATGGCATATTACAGCTTGTTCACTCTCCTTTTTACATGCGTCACTGAAAAGCAAGCAAAATGGGTAGGACAAAAGGATGTAAGGCAGGCTTGTCTTCCTAATTACAAAAGTTTCTAGACATACTGTTGTGTGCGTTTATTGAGCACTAACCATGTGCTCTTCTGGATGCCAGAGAAACTATAGTGAACAAAGCAGACAAAAACTCTTGCCCCTGTAGAGCTTCCATGTGAACGGGGGGAAGGGGAGGTGAGCAAATTAGGGAGACAGGTTAAAAAACAAGCAAATAAAGAAAAATAATAACATAGTATAAGTCCTGTATGCTATGGGGGGAACATGAAGCAAGGTAAGGAGGAGGGGGAATCCACGTAGGTAGGGTAAGGGTGGGAGGCTTGTGAATTTAAATAAGGTACTCATGGTAGGCCGTGGAGAAAGGTGGCATTTGAACAGTCCTGGGGAAGCCTTTCAGCTATGTGGGAGAAGGGCATATCAGGCAGACCAGCCTGTGCAAAGAACCCAAGGAGAGCGTGTGCCTGGTATGTTCCAAGAATAGCTAGGAGTGCATACATATACTCAAAGTGTATGCTAGGTGAACTCTTCCTTGAAGATTTCAGAGATCTAGGTTAGTTACGACTTTCTACCATAAAATTACCTTTTCGTTCTTGGTTATAATTCACGATCTTTGTATTGCTGAATTCAATTTGCTGGTATTTTATTTGGAATTTTTGCATCTCTATTGAGAACATTGGTTTGCAATCTTTCTCCTACTTGTCTGGCTTTCATATCAGTGTTATAAGTTCATTAAATGAGCTGGGACGTGTTGCTTATTTTACTATGCTCTGGAAGACTCTGTAAAAGATTGGAGCGATCTTTTTCCGTCGAAGCTTATAAAACCATCTGGCCCTAGTATTTATTTGTGGGAAGATTCTTAACTACCGATTATGTTGCTTTAATGGTAAATAAGACAACTCAAGCTTTATACTTTTTCTTGAGTTAATTTTGAAAAAAAAAATTATTTCTAAACATTTACTCATATTTCCCCCCCAGATTTATTAACATAATGTAATTCAAGGTATCTTTGTATTTTTTAAGCTTCCTCTTTCCTTTACCAATAATCTTTGTGTCCTCTCGTTTTCTTTTCCTTGACCATTTTGCTAGAAATTTGTCTCCTTTATTAGTTTAATGTTTATTTATTAATTAAAAAAAATTTTTTTTTAACGTTTATTTATTTTTGAGACAGAGAGAGACAGAGCATGAACGGGGGAGGGTCACAGAGAGAGGGAGACACAGAATCTGAAACAGGCTCCAGGCTCCGAGCTGTCAGCACAGAGCCCGACGCGGGGCTCAAACCCACGGACTGTGAGATCATGACCTGAGCCGAAGTCGGGCGCTCAACCAACCAAGCCACCCAGGCACCCCATAATGTTTATTTATTAATTTTTGAGAGAGAGTGAGCATGTGAGCAGGGGAGGAACAGAGAGAAAAGGAGAGACAGAGAATCCCAAGCAGGCTCCGCACTGTCAGTGCAGAGAGCCCAATGTGGGGCTTGAACTCAACCCATGAACTGTGAGATCATGACCCAAGCCAAAGTCAGATGTTTAACTGACTAAGCTACCCCAGCACCCCCTTTATTAGTTTTTAAAGAACTATCTTTTGGCTTTGTTGATCCTCTCTGCCCTTTTCACTTTATGGTCTCCTGATTTTTGGCAGTTTATTCTGTTATTTTTCTTATTTCATAAATTGAACATTTCATTCAGGTTTAATATTTTTTTCTATTCTGACATAAACATCTACTGTTCCAGGTTTAATTATCTTTTGCTACATTCCACAATTTGTGTGTGTGTGTATACATAAACATGTATATACACATTTTTTTGAGTGCTAATATTGAAATTTACATTAAGACTTCTTTGACCTATGAATTGTTTAGAAATGTTTTTATTTTTACTTTTTAATGTTTATTCTTGAGAGAGAGAGAGAGAGAGAGACTGAGTGCGAGTGGGAGAGGGGGAGAGAGTGAGAAGGAGACACAGAATCCGAAGCAGGCTCCAGGCTCTGAGCTGTCAGCACAGAGCCTGACGTGGGGCTTGAACTCACGAACAGCGAGATCAAGACATGAGCCGAAGTTGAACGCTTAACTGACTGAGCTGCCCAGGCGCTCCTAGAAATGTTTTTAAAAGCACAAATTCAAGTTTTTATAAATGCTATTTCCTTTTTGAAGAGCTTGTGTTGGTATCATCATTAATAAGACAGCTTTACATTTTGTGCATTTTGATATCATGGACTGAAGATACTATGTCACTTATGTGGTATTCCTGCCAAAAATTTATAATCTGAACCTAATCAAGTAGAAATATCAGAAAAATTGAGGGATATTTCACAATATAACCACCTTATATTTGTCAAAACCTTCAGATTAAAGAAGATTGAAGAGGGGCGCCTGGGTGGCGCAGTCGGTTAAGCGTCCGACTTCAGCCAGGTCACGATCTCGCGGTCTGTGAGTTCGAGCCCCGCGTCGGGCGCTGGGCTGATGGCTCAGAGCCTGGAGCCTGTTTCCGATTCTGTGTCTCCCTCTCTCTCTGCCCCTCCCCCGTTCATGCTCTGTCTCTCTCTGTCCCAAAAATAAATAAACGTTGAAAAAAAATTAAAAAAAAAAAAGAAGATTGAAGAAATGTCACAAGTAAATGTTACATGATCTTGGATTGAATCTTGATTAAGAAATTTTTGAGACAATGGGTGAGGTTTAAGAAAGGTCTGTAGAATATATAATAGCATTGTATCAATGTGAATTTCCTGAGTTTGATCATTGTACTGTGGTTATTCAAGGAAAAGCCCTTGGTTTTTAAGAAAATGCACACTAGAGGGGAGCCTGGGTGGCTCAGTCGGTTAAGCATCTGACTTCAGCTCAGGTCATGATCTCACGGTTCATGGGTTCAAGCCCCACTTCAGACTCTATGCTGACAGCTCAGCATGGAGCCTGCTTCGGATACTGTGTCTCCCTCTCTCTCTGCCCCTCCTCCACTCATTCACGCACTCTCTCTCTCTCTGTCTCTCAAAAATAAATAAACCATTTAAAAAAAAGAAAATACACACTAGAGTATTTAGGGATAATGGGACATTATATTTGCAATCTTAAAAGGTTCATAAAAAATCACGTATACAGAAAACGATAAAGCAAATGTGTTAAAATGTTAACGTTGAAACAATCTAGGTGAAAGGTAGTATTGGGAATTCTTTGTACTGCTTTGCAGATTTCCTATAAATCTGAAATTGTTTCAGAATACAAAAGTTAAATTTTTGTTACTGATTTCTAAATAATTGCATTGTGGTC